ATCGTCCGGTGGCGTGCCTTGGAGAAGCGCTCAAGCAATCTGCGGCACCTGTGAAGCCGGGTCAGCTTCATATTGTCTTGAAGTGCGTGTTTTCTGCATCCGGTAGAGCTTCATCTCAAAGTTCAATTTCACAATGTCCGAGACGGTACTGCGAATGATGGACAACTCTGATGTCAACTCAGCTCAGTCATGCTCGCTGCGGATTCCGAAGCGTCCTCAGATGATCTTACGGATCGCGGGCATGCTCGCGGTGGTTGCTCTACTACTAGGACGGTCCTGGGTGCTGTTTGTCTCCTTGTAACGACGCAGCGTGTATCATAGTGTGTTCCGCGGCACTCCGAGTATTCGATGTTGAGACTTCTCTTTAGGCAAAATTCCCGTAGGAATAAGAATATCAGCCCAGTTCTTGGAGGACTTTTATAGAACAGTTCAAAGATCATTTACACTGTATATAAGACAAGATATGATAAGATATGATAGAACAAGATAGCTCATTAAAGTTGTTCAAAGACTTCCCCCCGACCCTATAATTCTTTTAAGTGACTCACACAAACCATTTTCAAGATCTGTGGGAAAAGTATGCACCGTGTCTACGCAAGTAAGGGTGGGAATCAATGCTTTGTATGCAGTGAAAGCTCTCCACGATGTAAGTTGCAGTTGTATTTCTGAAAAGTGATACAAAAGATGTTTTCAGATGGGTTTCATACACCGCGATCTTAAGCCTGCTAACATGGCTCTGGGAGCTCTTGATAGCGAACACTCCCGTCTCATACACTTATTCGACTTCGGTTTAGCAAGAGAATACGTGGTTCGTGGAAAGGATGGCCGAACAAAGTTGCGCAGGCCAAGACCAATCGCACGATTCAGGCAAACGAAGATATTTTCTGAAAACACGTTCTCAACCCACCACTAGGGACCGCGTTTTAGAGGCACAATGCGATATTGTTCGATAAACACGCAAGAAAGAGGTGAACAAGGTCGAATGGACGATCTTTGGAGCTTGCTGTACATATTGGTGGAAATGAGGGGACAATTGCCGTGGGCCTTTGCAACGTATGGGCTTTGAAATTTTATACCAATCAGCGAGGAACGCCAAGGTAATTTTTGAGTCTGCCGTGAAAGCAGTGAGCGGCAGATTCTCATCCAAGGCCTGGTCCATCTTATCCGAGTAATTCAACGCGCTGATTTTGGAACTCCACCTTGAGCGCGAGAATGGCAGAAACCAGCATTTTTCTCCGTTCTTTTTAGACTTGTAGAGTGCAACAGTTCTCGCCATAGTTCGAGACGTAGATTCTTGCGGGACACTTTTAGTCCTTGCGCTGCAGCATGCCGCCTTCGCCGGTGTGAAAGAAATTGCGAGCTCGTCCGAGCGCCGTTTTGCCAAGCCAGCCCACAAAATATGATAATCATGTTGTAATGTGATCATTCTGGATCTTTGTACCATTCAAAGAAATTCTTCTATTCACCCTCCTTCTTTGTCACAGCTTCTTCTGCCAAGAATTTTAGAACAGAGAGGCCATATTACATAAGAACTTTGGCGAGTTGAAAAGGCAAAAAAATGTAGAACTCATTCCCTTAGAGCTGTTGCATCGTCGCGAAAACAAAGAAATAAACTGCTGATTGCGAACCGTAGACGAGAACAACCGCAAGGTGCCATACGATTTAGTGTCACTGTTTACATAATACAAAGATAGTGCGTTGTAGAGCGATTTTGAAGTGTCACAACCTTGTAGGTGGTGTAAACGCAAGTAGACGCAAAAGATAATCTTACAGAGCGCAGCTGAAGACCTTGGGATTCAACTACCACTCCTGTTAGATTATCACTATTAAGGCTGTGATCAAAAATAGATCCTATCTCATTGAAACTCCTAGGTATTGCCCTCCTAACAATTACTTGAGCGATGTTGGAAAGAGATTGATACTTGATGAAAAGATCAAAGGTAGATATCAAAAGAACAAACAACACTGCCTTCTCTGAGTCACCCGTATCTGGTTTTGCAGTTGGCCAAGTTCCTCAGTGTGAGAACCACAGTAATCACATAAACCTCATTTGTTGCCGATAGCATTCACAAATCACATAAGCCACAATATGTCTGAGTAGCAAGTCACACTTCCAAAGTCTTATACTCTAAAACTTCGCAGAAACAAGGTGACTCAGTCGTCTTTGCAGAGCGTTCTCTTCCACAAAGCTGCGCCATATTTAGGATCAAGAGGAGATTATAGAAGATTATTTAATTGATTTCATAAGTGAAAGCAAGTAACATGTGCTCACTCAAAATTACACATCACTTTCCTCAGAACTGACAGTTATTCTCGGTAAGACGGCTGTCTCTGCTTCTCAGTCCCTGTCTCCTGTTCCTCAAATGCGTCTGCCTAATCTTGAGGGTATGAAAGTCTCGGAATAAAGTAACATGAAAGTATTAAAGAACGCAACATGGAGAATAAGGCTGATAGTCAAACCTTTATCATGACTTAATAAATTCGGAAATGGAATTCCAATTAGTCCATAAACACTCAGACAAAAAGATGTGTTTGTAGGGAGCCACAAGAGATCTTGCACTTCAAGAAAAACACACCAGCTGAAGCCCTTCTAGAAAACTGTCCAGTACAACTTATTAGATTCCAGAAACATATAGAGTAAATTTTGTTTCAAATTTTCTTCTTTCTACTCCTAAAACACCATCGAGTATACGAGTACTTTCAGCACTCTCAACTATTACAGTCGACCTAACTATGCACTTCTTTTTAGCTTGTTAGAAAATATACGAGTTGCAGGATTCATAAGGTGAGAAGATTTATGTTTCTCATTTTCGATGATCAGCCCCCGATTTTGATGGTAGACATGCCTTCATGTTGTCAGATCGGTAGAGCTTCTTGCATTCTGCCGAGTTTACTTCTCTCGAGAAAACAAAACAAACAAACATTCTCAAGTGAAATTCAAGCTCGGGGATGGTATAAGGATGGCAAAGGTCAAAAATCGTTTAAGGAAAATCAAAGAAAAATGTACTGAACTTCCCTTTTTCAAGAGCCAGTAATCGTTTGCTCTTTGCTATTTCGGGTTCTCGCAGAGAAAACAGGGGAGTCTTAAAACCGAGTTGCTGTCATAGGCTGGCGTCATACTGAGCCGTTAGGGACTCGTCATACTTCGCCGAAAAAAGCGCGAAAACGCGCGAAAAAGCCCAAAAGCGCAAGAACGCTTACTTCAGGTGCGCGACTTTCGGCGCTGGAGCATGAATTTTGGAGACATG